ATTTGCATACTGTCACTTTTGCCTAGAGCCCTTATAAGGTACTCAGGAGCTGCGTACTGCCTTTTCGCAATGAGGGTGTTGCTACAGGATGATCCTTACTTAGGTTGCTGCGTACCGGGCACACTTACCCTTAATTGCGCACCTTAATCTGTGACTACCCCACAAGGGGAATATCCTCATCCTAAGCTGTGATGGAAACAAGGTGAAAGATCTTGCTGTCTAAGTCTTAAACATCTCACCAACTGAAGATGTTTCTTCTTTCAAAGATTCTGCAGATAGAAAGTTTGGCCCAGCCATGCAGTCAGCTTTTGCTGCAAAATCAGTATGTCCATGAACAATCGACATAACCCTGTGTTCTAGGACCTTACTTTAACAGAGCAATTACAGCAGTTATGTTCTGCTCTGCTGTTTTTTTTTGGATGCTCTAGAAATGGGAAGGACACAAATTTCCAGAATGGCGGAGATCTTCATTCACATGCAAAGGATCATGTGGCTCAAATCCTGCTCAGCTGAAGCTGCCTGTAAGAAGCCTCAGTCCTATGCCCTTTGAAGGAGAATCTTTCTTTGGTGAGGCACTTGACAAATTAATCACAGATGTCACAGGAGGAAGGGTGGTTCTTCCACAACAGAAAGGTCTAAAATCTCTTTTCTCAGAAGCCTCTACCTTCTCAAAATGCATAGCATCTCAACACTACCCAGGCTTCACTTTTAACTTTTAAGCCCAAATTCAGTCCTTCCTTTCAGCTCACGATATGGCCCACAAAGCCCACCAAATCTTACCTCTTCCCAGTGAAGGGACACCCTCACTACGAGTGTGGGAATGTTTGTTACAGTTTGCCTCTGGGTCAGAGATGTCACAAGCGTCCCAGGCCTGTGTGTTCAATCAGTGAATTCAAAGGGGTACAAAATTAGAGTTCAAATCTTGACTCCCTCAGTGCTTTCTTCTCTCAAATCAGTGAAAAACTCAAGGACAATCAGAAAAAAAAATTCAGGACATTCAGATTTGTAGAATGCTCTGAAGCCTCTTGTGTCCCACAGAGTAGTTGTACCAGCATCCCCATAAGACTGATTCAAAGGATTCTGTTTAAACCCGTTCACAGTACCAAAGCCCAGTGGGGGTATTCATCCTATTTTGTGCCTAAAATCCCTCAACAAATTAATTTAAATTATGAAATTTTGCATGGAATCCGCAAGGTCCGTAATTTTCTCTGAGTCCGGGGGAACACCTGGCACCTGCACAGATCCAAGATGCGTATCGGCACATTCCCATTTATCCACCTCATCAGTCCTTTCTTTGCTTTGCAGTGGCAGACAGTCATTTCCAGTTCGTTGCACTGCTCTTCAGCCTATCCTCTGCTCCCCATAGTATTCACAAAGGTTCTACCACCTCTTCTTGCCCTTCTCACTTAAGGCGTCCAGGTCAAAAGTTATTTAGATTTACATTCTCCTGAAAGATTCCTATACTTTACAGCTGTCTGCAAATGTGCACAGGACAATTCAGATGCTGGGAGAAAAATTTCTAGAAATCTGCTGCTCACCAGCCTGCTTTTTGACTGGAATCCTTGGTCTTGAATAAATCCCAAGCAAAAGTTTTCTTTTCAGAGAATAACATTTTCTCTCTCAGAGCTCGCACTCAATAAGTGAAGTCAGAGGCATCCCACAATGAAAATTCTCCATGAGAGCCCCAGGCCTTATTATAGCCTCCTTCGGTTGTGCTAATCATGTAATTTCTTTCAAGACCTCACTAACACAATACCCTAACTTGATGGATCTTTAGCGCAGCCTTAACAATAGGGAAATCTTTTATTCTTTATCACTGGAAAGTGAAAATAGATGTCAGTCTTTCAGGTTAGGAAGGAGTGTTATGCTCCTTCATGGTCCAGGGAACATGGTTATCAGCAGAAGCCAAGCTCCCCATCAACATCCTTGAGCTCAGAGCAATATGAATGGCTCCTCAACTCTGGATGTCTGTGAAGACGCCCAATCAGTGCAGTCAGACAATGCCTTGGCTGTGATATTCATGAACTATCAAGAGGCCACCAGGAGACATGCAGCCTTGAAGGAAGCAGAGCCAGATAATTTAATTAATGGAAACTTACTATCTAGTAATGTCTGGAGTCCACATCCCTGGAGTGGTTGACTGGAAAGCAGTTTTACTCAGAGGGCACTACCTTGATCAAGGGGAATGAATGGGCCTTTCACCCAGACCTTTTCAATCTGATATGTCCAAAATGGGGCACTCCGAATGTAGATATTCTAGTCTCCAGATTTGACAAACATTTACTGTTTGTGACCATAACCAAGGATCCTCTAGCATTGGCTTTTGATGCCTTGATAATTCTCTGATCTCCGTTCAGACTAATTTGTGCCTTTCCCTTAGTGTGAATTCCACATCAAACATGCAGCAAGAGAGGAAGAAGGTGATTCTCATTGCATCAAACTGGCCCAGAGCAACCTGGTACACAGACATACTCGGACTTCTAGCAGACAACCCCTGGCATCTTTCTAACAGGCTGGATCTGCTATCTCGGGACCCTCTATTCCATCCTGCTTCTCAGACTCTTGCTTTATTGGCATGGTTGTTGGAGCCCACGTCTTAAGAGATAGAGGGGTCCCTGGGTCTGTTCTTTTTGCCTTGCTGAAAACAAGAAATTTCATATCTAGAAAGATAAACTTACTGTACCTGGAAATCCTTCTTTGCTTGGTGTGAACACAGGCTATTTCAGTGCCAGAGATTGCTGTGTGCCACGCATTCTGGCCTTTCTACAATCAGTCGTTGACCAGAACTTAGCCTTAAGCCTTCTGAAAGGACAAGTTTCAGTCTTGTTTATATTCTTTCAAAGACTTCTGGCTTCGCTCTCCCTAGTAAAAAAAACGTTATTCAAGGTATATCTCTCAACTTTGTTCTCTCTGCCTTGCAGAAACCACGCTTTGAACCCATCATGGATATTCCCTTATTTATTTCGGGTACTTCTATAGCGCCATCAATTTACGCAGCGCTTTACATATATATTGTACATTCACATCAGTCCCTAACCCTCAAGGGGTGTACAATTTAAGGTTCCTAACTTACATCCATTCATTCATACATACACATACTAGGGCCAATTTAGACAGGATCCAATTCGCCTACCAGCATGTCTTTGGAGTACCCGGAGGAAACTCACGCAGGCACAGGGAGAACATGCAAACTCCAGGCAGGTGGTGCCGTGGCTGGGATTCGAACCAGCGACCCGAGTACTGCCAGGCGGAAGTGCTAATCATTTAGCCACTGTGCTGCCCTCAGATGACCTCTACTGCAAAGTGGCCTTTTTGCTTGCCACAATGTCTGTCAAGTGTTTCTCAGCAGTTCTGTCTTGTAAGGAGCCTTTTTTCATACTTCACAATGACAATGCTGTCTTAGGCTAGGTTCACACCTATGCAGTTTGCATTTGATCCGTTTCTGCAGTGCTTTTTGCGGTACTTTTTTACACATTCATTTTTTATGTGTTTTTAATGTGTTTTGCTTTTTTTTATTTTTTGGCCAACTTGTTGCTGGGCAGATTTAAAACGCATCAAAAACATGCAGAATGCAGCACTTGTATTTTCTGTGCAGTTCCATTCAAGTCTATTGGACTAAAAATGCAAACTACTGCGGAAGAAGTCCCTGACCCTTTCCAAAAAAGGCACCAGCAAAAAATGCATAGATTGGCACGTGATCCATAGAAAATCATGATAAATGGCATGCACTGCATTCCTGCAAAATGCAAAAAAAACACACAGGTGTGAACCTGGCCTTACGCCCAAGACTGTCCTTTCTTCCTAAGGTGGTATTAGTCTTCCACCTCAGTGAGGTCATAGTCTTACCATTCTTATGCCTTGCTCCAGAGCATTAAAAAGGAAATCTATCTTCATTGCTCGAATGTAGTCCAAACCATTAGTCTTCCTCAAAACAACAGGTTCGATCAAACAGATGGATTCCCTGTATGAACTGTCCTTAGGACCTCACAAGGGACATCCTGCTTCCAAGTCCACAATCGCTTGATGGATAGGAAATCTGATCACCAAAGGTTGCACTCTTGGGGACAAATCTCAAAGCTTTTAGGTGCCAATTCCATCAGATTAGTGGGAATTTCTTGGGCTTTCTGTTCTTTTTCAAAATTCTACCAGGTGTACGTCCAATGTTATGCGGTCACAGTTATTGCAGCAGGCCTGCTTACGTTGGGTCTTTTTGACCCTTGTTATTATTGAGCCTGTTACAGTTATGTTTAGTTAGTTGTTGCCCACCCTTCTCATTCTTTTGCTTGGGGAGGTCCCCTGGTCTGTGAATACTTTGTACAATTAAGATAATAGTAATTTTCAATTAATCTGTCAATTTTTAGCTTGGAATATGATATAGGACACAGACCACCCTTCCTTCCATTCTCTGGTTAGTCTACATTGGTTGGTACAAAATCAAGGACACACAGAGTGGTGTAGGGTTATTGGGTAACTACCCAGGGGATATGTTTCCAAAAGTTTTACCTATGTCAAATCACCTGAAGTTATGAGCCTGTAACCCAGAGTCTATGAATACTCCGTCTGTGTCCTGTACTGTACTCCCAAATTGTGGAATTTATGGGTAGGTCAGAATTCCTCTTTTTTTTGCCTTCAATTTTGTGCATTTTAAAACTAATGGGGGAATTAAAGAGTGGCACAGACACATCAGATCCTGCTCCCAGTTAACATATTGGGAGCAAGCACCAGACATGGCATAAGTAGCTGCTTGTTCTGGCTTCCTTTTGACCACCCATGACTTCTGTTTCACTCTGAAATAGAAACTGGCACAAATAAACCTAAAACAAGTCTATCTGCTTTGTTAATGTGGTGCACGCCACTCACATCAGTTTCTTGCTCCATTATACTGGCACAGGAATCTTTGGTAATTCCCCTTCAATGTTTCTAATATTTTGCTGTGCAACATTTGTATGATGAAATTATGTAATTAGAATGAAAAGTAGCTAACACATGATCTATTGCAGGATACACTCATAAAAGTAACAAAAGCATCAAAATCTAAGAAGAAAAAAGAAACTGCAGATGGGAGGGATGGCCGACGAAGAAAAAACCCTGACACAGAAGGTGATTTCTCTGCAAAGAAGCAAAAAGCTGAGAAGAAAGATTCAGATAGCACTGGTGGGGATTCTAATGAGGTCAGTCAAGGAACCTGGAAAGGAAGCAGCATCACAGATCCCACAGCAGAGTCCAGATCAAAACAACTATTGCACTTTGTTCCACAAATGAATCCTAATATTCGTTTTGCAACTTACACCAAAGAGAATGGCCGCACTTTAGTTGTGCAAGATCAGCCTGTTGCCGATGGGACTACTTTTCCATCATTTAGTGTCATAGCAAGTCAAACTTCATTGAGGTCTGAATCGGTGAGATCTGGGAGCAAAGTTGACAATGTTGAAAGCACAACTGAGACAGCAGCTTCTGCAGGAGTAACTCCAACCACAGTACGGATTTCTGACGTTGTTCTTTCCAATGTGACAGCAGAAGAAAATAACAAGTCTGGCTGGGCCATTGGAGAGGTAATTTGGTGCATAGTCCTCTATGGTGGTGTACATTGGTGAAACCAACAGAAAACTGGTATTACAGCTGATATACAACCCTGATTCTTACTGACACAAAGTAAAACCCCTAGATCCTGTATTGCCTGATTCTAAATATTTATACAAATTTAATATTGCATATATGAGTATAAGCTGCTACAGGGCCCAATATTGCTGTGGATCCTTTGCTTTGCACTATGCAAAAGCACATTGTTCACATTGAAGCCAAGGTCTCCCCTGGCACAAAATGCTTTTGGTCATGAAGGGATTATAGAGGCATAAATGTTTACATTATTCAGATTGAGTAGCAATTTGTATAAGGCAGAGCTTAATCACAAGTGGAGATGGAGCAGGAAGCAGTGCCATTTTAGCAAGAGAAACAATAAAGCAGCACCTTATTGACTTTATTCATTGTTCCCCCTTAGTGTCATGGTGCAGAGATTCCTTACACATGTGACTGACCATCTCTCTTTTGTGAGCTGTCTGATATAATATGCAGTTGTTTCTATATGTCCATGTACTATACTTTTTTTCATTTGCTTCAGTTTTTTTTTTTTTTTTTTTTTAATGAATCTTTAACTGTGAGAAAAAAATAGAGATTTGAAGGTTATATCCACATTTTGAAAAAAAAAAATTCATGCATATATACTTGCAGAAAATAAAATGTGCATTTATTATTTTTGCAAATGAGCCTGCATAGCAATGCATTTGCAATCAGTGGATCAGGGGTTCAGTTCAAGGCTCCTTCAGACTCTTTAACCAGTCCTCTGAGCTGCATAGCAATTGCATTTGGCAATCACAGTGGATCATGGGGTTCAGTTACAAGGCTCCTTCAATCAGACTCACTCAGTCCTCAGTATGCAATGAGGTACACACTTTCAGGTAGAGCTGGAAGAAGCATCAGTGGACTAGGAGTGTGTTAATCACAGCACGTTTGTTTTATTGGGAGTGACAAGTCCATCTACTGTGGTGGAAGATGGGGCTTGTAGTTTATTCATTCACAGATTTCTGCAAATAAATAATGTGGCTGTGGCAGCATGTTACATGTTATACCTTAAATTTGAGTGGAACATGTAATCTTGACTTCAAGGTGGAGTTAGTCTTTAATTTTATGTGACCACTTGATTTGTTGTTCATCAGATGATTTGTTGTCTGCTCACAGCTTTGCTGATAAATCTTGCCCACTGGAAATCATGTTTAATATGCTAGCTTGATATATTCTCCCTCGATTTGTGTACCTCTATCATATTGCAAGAATCCTCACATTTGGCACACACAGAGAAAAGAAGACAAACTTGATTCTTCAGATTTCATGTTGATGCAAGGTTCCCAAATGTGAAAGAAGTAGGAAAAGATCTAGAAATTGATATTGTAGAAATACCCATTCATCACTGGTTTTCTTTAAAGTCCGTACTAGAAACATTGCTGGAATAAAATATCTGGCTGCCAGCAATGTTTCTTTTGAATGTACACTTGTGCAGCTTAGTGTACATTGCTGTGCTTTTAATATATATATATATATATATATATATATATATATATATATATATATATATATATATATATATATATATAATTTTTTTTTTTTTTTTTTGTCACACTTAAATGATTCAGATCATCAAACAAATTTTAATATTACACAAACAGTATTAACCACTTCAGAGGATTTACCCCCCTTCCTGACCAGGTAATTTTTTGCGTTATGGCGCTGCGTTACTTTAACTGAGAATTGCGCGCGGTCATGGAACGCTGCATCCAAATTAACTTTACGTCCTTTTTTTCCCCACAAATAGAGCTTTCTTTCAGTGATATTTGATCGCCTGTGCGCTTAAATTTTTTGCGCTATACAAAAAAAAAAGCCAATTTTGAGAAAAAAAAACATTATTTTTTACTTTTTGCTGTTAAACGTGTCCAGTAAAAAATTTTTTTTAATAATCAATTTCGTCATAAATTTAGGTCAAAATGTATTCTGCTACATGTCTTTGCTAAAACAAAATCCCAATACGTGTAAATTAATTGGTTTACATGAAAGTTATAGCGTTTACAATTGGTATATATGGGATCTTTTTTTTTTTTTTTTTTTACTAGTAATGTCGGCGATCAGCGGGCACTTATAGCGGGACTGCAGTGGCATTCTGACACTGGAGGGAACTGACTTGGTGTCATTGACATCCCAGGGACACCAATACAGTGATCAATGCTAATGAAAAGCACGGACACTGTACTAATGGCACTGGGCAGGAAGGGGTTAATGTGGGGTTGATCAAAGGGTTAACTGTGCTCTGTGCCATGTTACATACTGTAGTGTGCTTCAGCCTACAAAGCAGTGTGCAGGAGCTGATAGGGGAGAGATCTGTATTGTCCACAAACCGTTCAAAGAATTGTTTTAATTCAGCCACATTGGAGGGTTTTTGAGCATGAGCAGCCTGTTTAAGGTCATGCCACAAAATCTCAATCGGATTTAAGTCTGGACTTTGAGTAGGCCACTCCAAAGCCTTCATTTTTTTTTTTTTTGAGCCATTCAGAGGTGGATTTGCTGGTGTGTTTTGGGATCATTGTCCTGCTGTATAACCTAAGAAGCATGCTTGAGGTCACAAACTGATAGCCAGACATTCTCCTTTGGGATTTTCCAGTAGAGCGCAGAATTCATGGTTCCATAAGTTATGGCTTGTCGTCCAGGTCCTGAAGCTGCAATGCAGCCCCAGGCCATCACACTACCACCACCTTTTTATATAGGGCCAGGCAAGTTTGGCCAGCTTTTTTACCTTAAATGAAATTATTTACAAACTGCATTTTTTATTTACTCAGGTTATTTTTGTGTAGTATTAAAATTTTGTTTAAAGACCTGAATCATTTAAGTGTGACAAATATGCAAAAAAAAAAAGAAACATGAAAGGACTGAATATTTGTTCACCCCACTGTACATTCTCATCATGGCAAGTTGAATCTACTTCCATGCAGATGCATGGGAGGTATATCATTCCTGGGCTGGCTATTCAAGATGGCCAGTTGATGCCAAACCCAGGAAAAAAAGCAGGTAAACATGCCAATGGCAGAGACACATTGCTGCATAGAGTGCACATTTGCTGTTCTGCTTTAAAGCCTATATTCAGTCAGGTGTTTTTTGCACAAGGTAGGGGTTTAGATATTGGAACTTCTGCCAGAGTTTTTGACTGCCTGTAACCTCTTTCGAAAGATTGGGAAGAACGTAGCTAGGTAAATTCTCTTCAGTGTGAGCACAGACTTCAATAAAAACGAGAGAGGTTCTGACCCTTTTCAACTCAAAAAAACAAATGCTGTTTTGGCTGTAGTTGGACTTTAAGATGGCTTTATTTTTATTTTAAGGGGATGTACTAGTAGATAATGGACAACTTGCTGTTTGTTTTTCAAACTTCCTGGCAATAGAGGATGGACCCTGGAAATAATTTTAGATGTAATTAATATCTGAATACTAAAATATTGTCAAAAGTTGTGAAAAGTACAAGTCAAAGTGCAGTAAAGCTGGCCAAACTCCAATAGAGTCTTGTATGAAAATGTTTGTTTTCGAACATTCTGACTGTGAATGTGTTTTTTGTTTGGGAAAAATAATACGTATTCTAACGAAACTTGTTTAATATCCCCGGATTCCATTCAAATGGCAGGTCTGGATGAAATGCTGTCGACTTACAAACAAAATTAGTTAACTCAACGATGGCAAGAAAGAATGTTCTGATGAATGCTTTTTCTATGAATGTTCAACTGAATATCTAACCATGTATGGCCAGCTTAACTGTTTCATTTTAGAGATCCATCTATATGACATTACAATTTTTTCCCTTTTTTTCCAAAGAGTTTCAAAAAGCCAGTGCCAGTAAGTAGTGGCTTTGGGATGTCGGTCCACCCGTTAACATTTGGAGAGGGTCGAAATCCAGCGAATGGTACAGTACAAGGTACCAGTTCAGTTGGATTCCAATTTGGGTCAAGTCTACAAGAAGATTCAAAAGATACAGACTTATCTAAAAACCTGTTTTTTCAGTGTATGTCCCAAAATGTTCCACCCAGCAACTATTTTACAGCTATATCAGAGAGTTCGGTAGAAGAGCCTTCAAACAAGGACCCATTTAAACAAAGTAAGGAAGGTCTGTCTTCAACCCTTTTTAAGCCTAAACCTCTCATTCCTTCAGAAACTAAACTAAATTCAAAATTGCCTTTTTCTGATTCTATGCCAAAACTTACTCCAGCATTTCCTGGGAAAGTGCCCACTGCAAAGCCACCTGAGACGCATGAAAATCTCTTTCTGCAGCCTCCAAAGCTGTCCCGTGAGGATCCATCAAATCCATTTTTAGCCTTTTCAAATACAAAAGATGTTTCACCATTTGGATTTTCAAACCAGCCAGTTCAAAGTTCGTTATCTGGTACACCTACATCTCTACTGTGGCAAGATAAGCATAAAGCTGATGACCCTGGATCTTTATTGAAAAATAAACCTCTGTTTCTTTCAACTGAGCCTTTAAAAATGTTGCCTATTCCTTCTACGCCATCAGTTAATGAATCTCTTCAAAGCTCTGCCTTTTTGGGAAATGGGAGGTCAAATTCTCCAGCAAATAGCTTGAACCAGCCTATTGAGATGCCAACATTGTCATCAAGTCCAACTGAAGACAAACCCGCAATAGCATCTGGGCAGTTGGACAATCCATTGCTAAGAACTTTCACTGCTCTGTCAAGTAGACTACAGCCTGGTGTTGTTTCTTCCACTGAATTCTCTCACGATGGGAAAGCAGCTTTTGAGTCTGTTAATAGATTCACTCTAGATGAACGAAGCAGAACATCAAAGCAAGATTCTGATTCCAGCACTAATAGTGACTTAAGTGACCTGAGCGATTCAGAGGAGCAGTTGAGTTCTAGAGCTGGCTATAAAGGGATCCCAGAGCATCTTGTTGGAAGGCTGGGACCTAATGGAGAGCACAGTGTTGACTTACTTTTGGGAAAAGGAAGGGGAAAACAAGTGGCAAAGGGAAGGCCGAGAACTACTCCACTCAAAGGTAGGAAGAGCAAGTAGCAGGATGTACTGAATATTTGTATTACTGGAAAATGTAGTGTACATGCTTGAGTTTAACCTCTTTAGGCCTCATGCACACAGGACATGTGTTTAGGCGTGTCAAGTGCTTGGGTGGTAGTTCATTTCAATGGCCAAAATAAAAATTGATCCTGCCCATTGAAATAAATTTACACTCAAATGCGAAAGGCACCCAGTGTTGGTGCACGTTTAGTTGCATTTAAAAGCGTTTACACACGTCAAGCGCTTTTTCTTTCGCTTCTGGATGTACTGGCAGTGTGTTTTTTTTTTTTCTGCCTCTTAACTCCTGTAATAGTCTATGTGTATATGGACATATAGGCTAACATGCAGGGGTGTTTAGAGGCAGACAAAAAAGCACCCCTAGGAGCAGCTGAAAAATCGTCCAGTGTGAATCAGGCCTTAAGGGATAAGTTCACCTTTTTACAAAACATAACAAATGTACAGGTAAACAAATGTGCATTTATGATTTTTTGTTGCAGGCGCCTGTAAAGCATTGCAGCAGTGATCAGCAGATCGCTGTTCCCATGCATGTCTTCAGCAGACTTGTCAGTCTATCTGCTTGCCTGTACGGGCAAGCAGATATACTGACAGGAAGAACGAATGAACTACCACGGCACTCCACCGTCAGGACTTGTAGTTCATTCACAGAACACCGTGAGCCCTGCACGATCACATTTTTTTAGAAATTTTGACAGTGGGGGGGGGGGGGGGGGGGGGGGGAGAAAATCCCTGCTAGCTGTCACAACGGGGATCAGGGGTGCGGGGTCGGTTCACTCATAACATGTTACTCTTGGAGTATGGGTGTAACATATTATGAAAGGTGAACTTTAAGGGTTGTGTAATATAAAAAAATTAATTGGTATAATTTCCATCCTTCCTTTTTTTTTTGTTTTTGTTTTTGTTTTGCAGTAGGGCAATCGGTTTTGAAAGATATGAGTAAAGTAAGAAAGTTGAAGCAGTCAGGCGAACCTTTTCTTCAAGATGGATCTTGCATCAATGTTGCACCACATTTGCACAAGTGTCGTGAGTGCAGATTAGAGCGGTACCGGAAATTTAAAGAACAAGATCAAGATGATTCCACTGTGGCTTGTAGATTCTTTCACTTCAGGAGGTATTTTTTAATTCGCTGTATGTTTTTGGACAGTAGTCACAATATCAGGGAAAAGTAAATCTGGTTTCCGTAATATCTTATCAGTAAGTTCACCCATACAAAAACAGGCAACCTTTTGCACTGCGCACTCTTTGGGAAGCAGGACCTGGCTTTCTCTGGTTTGTGCATCTAAAGACACATAGAACAAGGAAAGTGGGATCCTGCTTCCCAGCAGTGTGCACAGTGTAGTAGCTCACCCATTTGGGAACTGACCACTGTAAGTCATTGTTCTAATTATACACAGTGGCACAATTGTATATTGCTGACGTGAGGGTGGAGACCACTATGGGGGGTTGGCAACTGCACATGTCGAATCAAAGCTACATTGTCGCTTGCTCCTTGATTTTGGAAAGAGTTGTGCAGACTGATTTGTGGTAATGTATTTAGAGGTACACTGTCCTTAAAGTGGAACTTCACCCAAAAGTTCTTTTCCTCCTCCTCCTCTCCTTCATCAGATTTGGCACATCTTTTTTTTTTCGGGGGGGGGGGGGGGGGGGAGGCGGGTACCTGTTATTGACTGGTAGCCGCTCCCTCACTTCTGGTCAGATCTCTGCAGCAATCTGAGCAGAATTTTGGCTCCCCTTGAAGCCTTCTTTGACATACCACAGGTGCCAGAAAGCTGTGAAACCGTCCAGCACATTGTGGCTCACGCATGCGCAGTGAGCAGTCGGCTGTGCAGTCGCAAGCTGTCACAGCTGGCTGCCCACAATTAGTATGCCAGTGCCTGGGACCAAAGCCCAGTGAAGAAACCAGCAAGGTGAGGGCATTGCTGGATCCTGGGACAGGTGAGTGTCTAATTGTTAAAAGTCAGCAGCTTTTTTACAGTTTTTGTAGCTGCTGACCTTTTAATTTTTTAACAGGACTGAATAACTGCTTTAATCTGCAAAGGGGAAACCAGAAAAATATTCCAGCAGTCAGTAGGAAATTAACAATCCCCACACTAGATGAAAATGAGCAAAAGATGAAAACAAATAATTTAGCTTAGGTTTGGCCTTTAACGCTTTTGGCCCCGCATTCCACTTTTAAACTCGGGTGGGCTGACTATTTTTGCAATTTTTCCATTGCTTTTATTTTTCCCTTTACAATTTTCAGAGCTTGTAAAAGACCCCTAAAACAATATATTTTTTAAAGCACATGACCAGTAGAATATAAAGAAGGTGCTACTGATTTTTAGGGCCCCATGATACTTGTGCAAATGTTCATCAATCACTATTTTTGCTAAAAATACACTAAAATCATTATTAGCAGATACAAACACAGCAAGTTTGATAAATAAATAATTGTAAACCGCGTTTCTTGACCACGCTATACCCGAATGATGGCTACAGCATGGTCGTCCAGTTCTGGGAGGGTGTCATATGACGTCTTTCCAGAATTGCGCCCCAAGCACTCTGATCTCTGTGTCATTTGGACACAGCTGATCACATGACACGGTAAAGGGCCAATCACAGTGGCATTTTACCATGTGATCAGTTGTGCCCTGATTACACTGTTCAACAAATTTTTATTTTTTGCCAGTTTTGGAAACAAAAGGATCCATTTCTAAATGAATTTCACATTCTGAGTTCAAATATAACAATGAAATTTGTCAATTGGCTCTAGTTTTTTTTTCTGTAAACGGAAAGTTTTCTACTATAGGCGTAATGACTACATAATGCACAATAATTATATAGATAGATGTCTTTCCCACAAATATAAAGCAAGTGATATTGACTACATAACAAAGCCTAAATGGCATAATATATTGCATAGGATTACCAAGAAAAATTATAGCCATAAGCTAAGTTGAATCATTTTAATACTTAGGATTCTCACTAGTTTTGTCTTCAGTTTGTGTCGGTTTTGCTTCTCTTGGCTTTTCTCTTGTATTCGAGGAAAGGGCTATCTCTTACAACTGCACGTGACTACACGCTTCAGGTTCTTCCTCACTTGACTCAACCACGAAGGATTCTGGTGCTTTAGGAATTGGTAGCCCCTCTCCATGAGGAACTGGACGTATTGCCGATGGAATATTTGGATAGTGCACAGATAACTTTTTCTTCTTATTTAGCCCTTTTACAATTGGAGGCACCATACAAAAGTAACAATTACTAACATGATCTGTTGGCTCTCTCCAAATCATTGGCACAGCGAAAGGCATAGATGCCTTTTTTCCATTCAACCATTGCTCCAGTGCCGTCCCACAAGAATTGCAGCATATATGTGGTGCCCAGCTCTTGTCCTGGTCTCCTATCTTGCAGCCAAAATACAAGTTGTAGGCTTTCTTAATCATTCCTGTTATCCTCCTTTTTTGTGAGATAAAAGTTATTTCACCGCAGATATAGCAGAAATTATCTGCTTTATTCACACAAGTTCAAGGCATTACTGAGTAGCCTATATAAGCATAAAACGAAATGTAAAGACGCTGTCGAACTACAATCAGCTACAGATACTGCAGCTTTTATGCAGTGAAGTGATGCAATTAAAGGCTAATATTGCATCATCTCAGTATACATGCAATTTTCTATTGGTCACCAGTATCAATTGCGCAATATGCAGCTGAAGTTGCATCATAATTTTGAATGGCTTACGTCATTAGATGGGTGAATATATCATGGAAACTAGAGCCAATCAACATTTTTTAGGGTCATTTTCGTTTTCAGCACCCCAAAATTATGTAAGATTAGCTAATTTTATGCCCAAAACTTTTTACCTGTTGAACAGTGTTATCAGTGCAGCCCCAAAAGTTCCCAGCTGTGCTGCCAATCTGTGCTCGTCAGTGCCCCTTATTAGTTCCGCCCTTCAGTGCTACCTAATAGTGCTCATCAGTGCCACATATCAGTGCAGCCTCATTAGTGCCTCCTCATCAACCAAAAGTGCCATCTCATCAGTGCAGCCTATCAGTACTGCTTCATCAGTGCTGCCTGCCAGTGCAGCCTCATGAACACACATCAGTGAAGGAGAAAAATTACTTGTTTGCAAAATTTTATAATAGAAACTAAGAAAAACGTTTTTGTTTTTTCAAAATGTTCGGTCTTTTTTTGTTTGTTTAGCAAAAAAATAAAACAGCCAGTGGTAATTAAATACCACCAAAAGTTAGCTCTATTTGTGTGAAAAAAAGATAAAAATTTCATATGGGTACAGTGTTTCATGACCACCTGACTGTCATTCAAAGTACAACACTGAAATCTGAAAATTGGTCTCGGCAGTTAAGAAAGGGGGTAAAATTCGCAAAATGGTGAAAATTTTCATTTTTCACGTACAGCTTTCTGCCAGCGCTGGGGGGGGGGGGGGCATTATGGGTACGGGCCATCTTAACAGCTAGAGACACGTAAGTGGAAGGGAGGAAGTAGCTGGTCAGAGGCAGAGAAAGTCGGGCAAGTGGAGGGAAGTGGGGGGGGGGGGGGGGTGTCATATTTTAGGTTAATAGCTCTGATCAGCGGCTTGTTATTTGCTAATCAGGGCTATTGTTTTGTTCAGCAGGGTCTGCTTAACAGCTCTTATATAAGTTCATGGTCACTAAAGTGACCATGATTTTATAGCAAAAGGAGGAATGCAAAAGGGTTAAAATGGCTCCCCAGCACACAGCTACAGTAAAATGTGTTATGTTTTAATAGTTAGCCACCAATAGATTTTTAATTCTTTTTAGCCAGTCTTGTGATGTAATCTTCTGGACATCAGTGCATTTAAAGAGGATGAAATGCCTTTTGTCCGGTTTCATTGCTGTCCTGCCACCTGGCAAATTTTCTCAATTGTGTAGCACAGCTATAAAAACTTTGTTTCTAACTTTTTCCCATGCTTCTAAAATACATTTTCTTTTTTATCCCTGTTTCAGGGATTTCTTCTTGTTTCCTTTCCTGCTGAAATACTTTTCTTAAGGATAGTAATGAGGGGAAATTTCATATACAAGGTCACAGACGACAAAAGCACCCAAAAGAATTTCTAAACATTTCTCATGCTATTCAGACAAACAAAATGTTTTAATGAAAAAAAGCATACAGGGTATACACCCTGCCCAAAGCTAACCTGCCAGAGATCCCAGGCTGCTGCTGGCCTGTGTGCCTGTTTGTTCTGCAACCAGGATCAGTGAACATGAGGAAAAGAAGTAGTGGCACTCCAATATACAAACAGCAGACTTCTTTATTATTCAATCCATGAAGATAAAAAGACAGCAATACATGGCTCTGAGAACATCAGTAGACACATTTCACACTCTCTTCCACACTAAAGGAGTGTGAAATGCATCTACTGATGATACCAGAGCCATGTATTGCTGTTTATTTATCTTCATGGATTGAATAATAAAGAAGTCTGCTGTTTGTACATTGGAGTGCTGCTACTTCTTTTCCTCATGTTCAAACAAAATGTTTTGGGTGGAGTTCCATTTTATGTAAAACAGCTTGTTCACTAATCCAGCCCTGTCTGCTGATTTGCTTCATTTAGGAGGATTAACCTACTGATAAGGGAATCAGTCTGCACATTTCACCTTTTAGCAAGCTCCTAAGATTGGACAACAGCAGAAACTTTTGGTTCCCTGGGCTGCTTCTCTAATTTCAACTCTGACTATATAGTAACTTTCTGAAATCTCATACAGATTTAGACATTTTCAATGAACTTTTAGAAAAGGGATTTTACAGTGAATACAAAACTCCTATTTTATCCAGCATATGGGATCTTTCCAGCTTTGCCAGAAATATTTAAAAATGTTATAAATTATTTTTCCAAGTTTTGTTATTCTCTTGATTGGAGTATTTGCGGTTTGTCTATATAGATTCACCATGTTTTAAAAAATGACATTAATTTAGACAACTGTAGGTGATCTACTTCATTACATGAAGCTAACACTTACCTTTTGAAATGGAATCATGCTTATTTCTCTGTGGCAAAGTCATAGGTACTGTGTGTGCTTTTAGGTCTTTAATTTTAGATTAAGTGGGCAGCCAACTTGGTTTGTGACAAATAACTTTCTTATTCAGGCTGGTTTTCACACGGAAAGGAATTCTTCGTGTTGAAGGTTTTCTGAGTCCTCAGCAAAGTGATTCTGAAGCAATGCGGCTCTGGGTTCCCTCCTCAGTTCCTGCTGAAGGCATTGACTTGGAGACCTCGAAATATATCCTAGCTAATGTTGGAGATCAGTTTTGCCAGTTAGTCATGTCAGAGAAAGAAGCCATGATGATGGTGGAGCCGCAACGTAAGTTAATTTCTGTTTAAATACTTTTATCTGTGTATATAATCAGTAATTTAAATAATTTGTAGACAAATGAATGCAGAATTCTGCTTTCAGCCCAATCTTGGAGCCAGGACCACATGCCTATGATGGTCATTTACAGAAAAGGCAGTAAAGATGTTGGATGCTAGAATTTTCTGAGGCTCCTGTGTGCTCGGATGACTGAATTCATGTGCACAGGCATCAGCATTTTTTACTGTATGGGCACTGTAGTTGCTGGCGGCATTTCTGTGCATACGCAGAAAACTCTGCACGCAGAAAATGCATATGCATACTGCCATCTGGGATAGCTGTGACATAGCAATCCCAGGAGGCAGCGGAGCCCAGACTAGGCTGAAAAACAGGAAGTCCAGCACAAAACACCTAAAGATACCAATCATATTAAAAAATTTGCACATTTTTGTAAGGGGCAGGACCAAAAAGAAAATGTTGCTCTAAGGCGTTGAAGTGATACCAAACACAGATTGTTTAATAAACGTTATCCCTTCTATTTACATGAATGGATGATAACAGTGTATCTCTTTTTGAAAAAAGAAAAAAAAAAAATCTTTTCTCACAGCCAGTATATAGCAGTCACGTTGCTTTCCTGAGTGAACAAAGGTACACTGGATTGATATCTAGGGGGAGGTTCTGATAGTTACAGCCTGCTCTATGCTGCTCAAGCCTGTGAAGGGAGTGGACTGTCATTTATCCCCGTGTAGGGGAGGAAATGTTCAGCACAGAGACACACTGAAATCCAAGCATGCTTACTTGCTGTGGCAATGGCTGCTCTGAAGAATCTAGCTGCAGCGGGACACAGACAAGAGGGAGGGCAGAGAACAGCAGGATCAACCAAGTATTTTCCAGAATACAGAAGATAAATCCTGTAATGGCTAAGTATGATCAGCATGCAATACAGCATTTTATTGATAAGTTTTCCTGACGTGAGTTTAAAGTCACTTTAAGTTCCACTTTAAGCTTGAAAGGGTAGTAAAAGTACTGAAACCTTTTTTTTGTACCTTAATGTGCGAAAATCCTTTAGGACTACTTTAAAGTATGGGGAATAGAACTGTTGGGTAGCATTTTTTTGTGAAATGGGGAACTTGATGTCACATTAAGAGAAGCATGCCCAAAGCATTTTTCGCCATACTTCTCATGTGGGTCTTAGGAGTGTACTTATTTCTGCACTCCTGCGATCCAGATTCAGCTGACAGTGGGCTCAAGCCCGCTGTCAGCTGACATCACAGTGCCAGTCCAGTCTCTGAGGATCCTGACAATGTCGGGATCCATACAGATGCCTTAATGGCCAGCTTCTCCGTGTGCTGCTAAGACCCTGACCCGGCCATTCCCTCCCCTTCCACAGCCCGGCACTCTGGTGAGCACTGGAGTAGCAGAGCAGAGAGCGGTAACTGACTCATCCATTCTCTGCTCAATGAAGACTGAGAACTGAGCAATTAGCAGATAATTGAACTTTCCATTCTCAGTCTTACAGCTGGTGGTGGACTGCTGCAGCATCAGACTGCAGTATGCTTTTTTTTTTTTTTTTATATCCCACACTTCTCCATTTAAATTTACATTTGATTAGGTTTTTTTTTTTTTTTTTTTTTTTTTTTTTTTTTGTGTTAAGGGGACTTGATGTCACATTAATTAAGAGAAGTATGGCCAAAGCTTTTTTTGTATGTATGTTTTATTTTTTTTTTATATCCAGCACTTCTTTAATACCTATACATTTTACTCTGACACATGAACACATACTGTATCTTACTTATTTTTTGTACCGTTCTCTTTTTTTCCTATACAGAAAAAGTAGCCTGGAAACGAGCGGTCAGAGGTGTTAGGGAAATGTGTGATGTCTGTGAGACAACACTTTTCAACATTCATTGGGTGTGTCGCAAGTGTGGATTTGGTGTCTGTCTTGATTGCTATAGACTGAGAAAGAACAGGCCTCGTAGAGGTAAGAGTCATTATAACTGAAAACATTGTTTTGCGACAGGGAATACTATAAATTGTTAAGATGAAAGTCCATTTTTGAAAAAAAGTGCTAATAAACTTGCATACTATATTTCACAGGCACTTATTTATATTTTTCTTTATATTTGCAAGTAAACCAAACCGTTCTAGTACAATTTACAACCACTGGGCTGGGGATAGATACCATGCCAGGGAAGTCTGAGCTGTTGCAGCAAAAAATAAAAATAAAAATTTTGTTGGGAGGATGGCCTTGTGCAGCATGCAGTAGGACATGGGTAGCTCTTATTACATCCTGTATTTAATTTTGCATTGGTTTCCTCCCATGAATGTCTTTCCAAACTTCTAAAAACTTACCTAAGCCTGGAAATCTCCTTTCTCTATAATTCTCCCTCAAATTGGGCCTCAGACTTGTGTGCAGTGCATGACAAAATCCAGACCCAAGGCTCACAGATGGCTCTTCCATTGCCAGAGGGAGATTCTGCCACTCCCAACCAAAATGCTGCATTGGCTAATAAAGCCTTTCAAGTTTATTCACTCTGCCAAAGCAACCAAACCGGTCTAGTACAATTTACAATCACTGGGCTGGGACTAGATACCATGCCAGGGAAGTCTGAGCAGTTGCTCAAGTTTCAAGTTTATTCACTCTGCCAAAGCACCCATACTACTGAATTGGTAGAAGTGAATGTGGATATTTCTCTCAATTGGATGCAATGTTTCAACAGTTTATCTCCGCCATAAAATTGCCTTAATTACTACTAATTATGACTGAACCACAAAAATAAGAAAATAGGGATTTTTAATTGTATGCATTTATATTTTTCTTTATTTCAGTGTATCCTGTATGACCCAAAAACCCCAGGCAATCCTTTGTCAGAGGGTAACACCACAACATATGGTGTAACCCAGTGATCACAGTGGGGGCATTGTCACACAGTTACCCCAGAGCATCTAGTGTTACACAGTGACCCCAGAGTGGGCATTGTCACCCAGTAAACACAGAGCATCCATTGTCACCCAGAGGGTTTTCACCCAGCAAGTAAATAAAAACACAATTTTAGACAAGTCCTTTATTAAAAATTAAAAAGTCCCACATTGTACATCCATCATTAGTCACATCATCCAGCGATGTAGGCCCACGTGAATCTTGATGAACGACGCCACCAACCCACAAAAAAAACCGCTGACACCCGATCAGTCCTTTCATTTGCCTTATGCCAAATGACATCCAAGAGTCTGCGTCACAGAGCGTAAATAAAGGAGCAAGGTCACCCAATGACTTCATTGACCATACATGGACATGTCAATATTTGGTCAATGACATCATATAGGGAAGTGTCACTTGGTTGGTGACTGCATCCAGTGGAGTTGTACACGTCAGTTACGGCATCTAGCAAAGTCATGTGCACTGATTACATCATTTAACGAAATCATGTGTCAATTTCGGCATCCATTGATGTCGTCCTCGTCAATCATGACTTATAGCGAAGACGTCTGCGTTATTCGTGGTGTCCAGCAAAGTCATCAAATTCAATCATGGCATCCAGCGAAGTCATCAATTCAATCATGGCATCCAGCAAAGTCATCCATGGCATCCAGCAAAGCAATCCGTGTCAGTCAGTGTCCAACGAAGTTGACCAAGTCTGATAGACTAAAAAAAAAAAAAATAAAAACTTTTTTTTCCAAAAATTAAACCCTGAAAGAAATAAAAAAACATTAACATTACTTTATATTTTAAATATTTACAAGGTAAAAAAAAAAAAAACTTGTTTAGGTGTCATCTGACAACACCTGAGCCACCATCAGTTTGCTTGGTGCACAAACGGAAGTATGGATGTGAATGTCAGGTGTGGAATCCTGCTCATCCTAGTGTCAGCTAGTTTAGAAGTGAAGTGGAATGTGTGCGCATTAGCGCAATGTATGATGGGACATTTAGTTCCGAAGACTTTTGTAACTTGATAGTTGGGAGCGAGCTTCCCCAGCAGGTAGTTATTGTAATAGAATAAAAGGATTACTGAAGATGCTTCTAATGGCAGAAGATTGTAATGTTTGCTACAGTATTTTTAGAAATAATCATAGATGTACCGTATGTTTTATTTACCCTATAGCTGTATTTAAGGTAAAAATTTGTTAAGCTTTAGAACCGCTTTAATCCTGCTTTAGCATACAATTGTTAAGCATAGAGGTTGCATGATAAAATATAGCACAAATGGTTATCTTTGGCCTCCACTTGCTGTTCACTAGTAGTAATCTTCATAATCTTCACTATAGATCCCTCAGCGGTCCACTACCAATCACTAGTAGTAATCTTCATAGATCCCTCAGCGGTCCACTACCAATCACTAGTAGTAATCTTAATAGATCCCTCAGCGGTCCACTACCAATCACTAGTAGTAATCTTCATAGATCCCTCAACGGTCCACTACCAATCACTAGTAGTAATCTTCATAGATCCCTCAGCGGTCCACTACCAATCACTAGTAGTAATCTTCATAGATCCCTCAGCAGTCCACTACCACTCACTAATCGCAATCTTCATTGTTTCTAGATCCCTCAGCGGTCCACTACCCAATCACTAGTAATAATCTTCATAAATCCCTCAGCAATCCACTACCACACTGTTGACATCTTCTTCATTTAATTCCCCTTTAAGTTGTATAACTTGCCGGGCCTTAGGAAGAGATCCAGCACTTTAAACAATACCATATAATAGCTCTGTTAATTTAATCATGCCACACAAGTTCAGTTTAACATTTAATACTTTAATAATATTATCGTACTATTACAAACATTGATTTAAACTCTGATTAATATTGAACTAACACACTGTCAGTATGTTGCTTATGATGATAGCCCAAGAACATCTTTGTCAAAAGTACACATTTAATTTTCTATATTGTATGATGTTGCTACAGTCACATTCTGTGCAATGCCAGTGTGTATGTTGTATACTTTAATAAAATAAATGTTTTAATGAAAATACTCTGTCCTAAAAGCTTTTTCTTTCTGCTGTAATCACTTTTTTAGAAGATGAGGTGACTGATGAAGAAGTATTTTCCTGGTTGAAATGTGCAAAAGGACAGCCTCATGAACCTGAAATCCTTATGCCCACACAAATTATCCCTGGCACTGGTAAGATTGGTTTTAAATATAAGGACTGTATAGAAATGCTTTTAATAGTCCTACGTGCTATCAAATTTGTAGTAAAATTGTTTCTGGTACTTTTACCTACTGGTAAGCTTATTAAAAAACTTACATGTAGCTAAAATAAATATATCTCCCAAACGAGCACCGCTTTGCCCTAGAATGGTACAAAACAGAGCATCTTAAAGTAGTAGTAAATTCATTAAAACCTATAGCAGATTGATGGCTGGGCGGGACATTCCTCTTTCTGACTGGGCGTCATATGACGTCCTGTCAGGAGGAGCAGCTTGCGGGACTGGGCAGTGGGCACGATCTGTCACTGACTATGTCCTTGGGACACAACCGAAGACATATCACTGCACCGGCCTGTTGCCAGTGTCATGTGACCGCTGTGACCAATCACGGCAGATGACATCACAATTATATACAATGGATGACTTCCTGTCATGCCATCCATTGTATACAATTGTGTTGTTAGCTGTGATTGGTCAGAGCAGTCACATGGTACAGACAGGGCCAATCACAGCCCATCTGTATCGTGAGGAGCTTTGCCCAATCACAGCTAATCACAACAAAAGACTGAATGAATCAGTTTCATTCAGTAACAATGATTGCTAATACCAATGTATTTAATTGATTTTTGCAATCATAATGTGTAAACCCCCCCCCCCCCCCCCCCCCCAAAAAAAAAAAAAAAAATTCTGACCACTTGCCCAGAGTAGTTCAATGTTACTATGGTAACATTGTATTGCTTTGGTCACAGTGTGTTGAGAAAAACAAAAATTGAAGAAAAAATAATGTAATAAAAAAAAAAATTATTAGTTTTATTTTCTTTACATACTGTCACCAGTCAGTGTTCCTGATCACTGCCACATCAGTTATATAATAATGCTGTACTAGACTGGTAACAATATGTATATAAAAAAAAAAAAAATAGAGATTTTTTTTTATTTTTATTTTGTTTTAATTTTCTACATTTTCCAAAAAATTGTAACAAAAGGATTACGACCTCCAAAAAAACTCACCATGCCTCTTACTAAATACCTTGGACTATCTATTTTCCAAAAATAGGTAATTTGTGGGGTATTTCTACTATCCTGGCATTTTAAGGCCTCAAGAAATGAGATGGGCCGTCAGTACGTCAGGATTGATAGATTTGTCAGATATATATATCATGGTTTGGGGACTCTATAACTTTCCTAAAGAATAAATGATATACACTAATTTGGGGTGTTTTCACCAAAGAAATGTAGCAGAATACATTTTGACCTAAATTTATGAAGAAATGTAATTTATTTGCAAAATTGTATAACAAACTTAGTGCATTTTTTTGCGAAGTTTCGGGTTTTTTTTTCTTTATTTAGCAAAAAAAAGAGAGGTGATTGAATACCACCAAAAGAAAGCTCTATTTGTGTGAAAAAATGTTTTTTTTTATGGGTACACTGTTGCATGACCACACAAATGTTATTCAAAGTGTGACAACACTGAAAGCTGAAAATTGGCCTGGGCAGGAAGGGGGTAAAAGTGCCCGGTATTGAAGTGGTTGAAAAAAAAAAAAAAAAAAGTTCCTGCTGCTACGTAATATATCCGTAATAGTATGCATCGCATACTAGCACATTATGAAAGACACCTTAGAACGAAGCCCTCCAGCGGCATGCTGTCATCGCTGTGGAGGCTTCCATCTTCATCTGGTCTTCTTTCCAGGTTTTGGGGCTACGCCTGCTTGAATGGCTGAGACACTGATGACGTTACTCCCACATGTGCACGGGAGTCTCGGCCACAGCACAGATTATCCTTCAGAGTGATGTCACCAGTTGCTGCTCCGTCTAATATCTCCAAACTGTGAACGTTTAGCAGATATTCATTTTACCTACAGGTACTTTATTATAAGCTTACCTGTAAATAAAAAGTGACTTGACTACCACTTTAAGTTGGTTTCAGCAGCAGCTGCATTGGGTAGATAGGAAATGGAAATTGTTTTGTGTACGCTGTTGTGGATAAGATAGTTTTTCCTGTTTTTAGTGAGGTTTTCTTTATTTCTGTTTTTTCTTACAGCTCTTTACAACATTGGGGATCTGGTCCATGCTGCAAGGGGGAAATGGGGTATTAAAGCAAACTGTCCATGTATTAGCAGACACAACAAAACTGTTTTAAGACCGGCAGTCACTAATGGCATGTCCCAGGTATTTATATTTATCTATATAAATGTATGCTCTGCAGCAGTGATTCATCTTGTTGTTTTCTCTTTCTTTAGATCTTAAACCATTTTTTGTGTTGGCTATACTTTTTTTCTTTACTGTCTTGACTGATGGAAAAGTTTCCCTAATGAGCCAATAAATACTTGACAGTTGTTTTCATTTCCAAATTTTATCTCAAGGAGTAGAATTTTTTGATGGAGTTCCATTTTTGTTCTTTCTAATGGTGACAGAACCATAACTGTCACATACAACCTTTTGTATGAAAGCTGCTTGGGACTTTCATTACTCTGCTCTTGTAGAACCACAAAGGTAGTGTCAAGCTAGACTTTATACCTTTAATGAACCAGTTAGACTTTATACTACTAATGAAATATTAAACAACATTTTAGTTATGGTGTGCTGATAGGGAACCTCCCTTCCTTTTTACTGCTCTGCCGAAGATCGTACAAAATGCTGCACCCACCACGCATGGAGAATTGTATGAACTAGTGTTCCTGCTTGGAGGAATGGCAGTTACTACATCTGTCATGAAAATACCAATTTTAGCACTCCACGGTCCTATTCTGACCCAACAGCATGATAAAGCAGAGTTACACTTGAATGGGTTCCACATATCCACAGAGGTGCCTGCCTTTGTTAGCAGTAGGAACTGTATATTTTTCTTTTAGTTGACTTCTGTCTTTTTCTTAGCTCACATGCTTGCAAAGTAGTAATTGTGACTTGTCTGCTTGTTCTCTTTCCACTAGCTTCCAAGTTTAAATCCTTCAGCATGTGAGGGCACTCTTCCATCCACTCCCACAGAGTGTATTGACAGCATAAAAATGGAGGAAGATTTAAAACCAGAAACTGCTGACATTGTTATGGAGGACTCAAAGATTGAACCAAATATTAATCAGGGCAGTGCAGAGAATAAAACCAACAAACAGCAGTGCCCAGAAACTACCCCCTTCATCTGCCTTGCACTGGCTGGCTGACCTAGCAGCACAGAAAGCAAAAGAGGAGACAAAAGGTGATAACTTTGTAATTTTTGCTTTCCTTTTTGCTATTGCTTAACATCACATTTAACTTGTTGACAAAGAGAATATACACCAATCAGTCATAACATTGAGACCACCCACCATAACCCATCGAGTCATGGACTCCACTAGACCTCTGAAGGTATGTTGTGGTATCTGGCTGTCCATAACAGAGCCTTTAAGTCCTGTAAGTTGTGAGGTGGGACCTGCATGGATCAGAAATTTTTTTTTTCCAGCATAGCCCAAAGAAGCTCAATTGGATTGAGATCTGGTGAATTTAGAGGCCAAGACAACACCTTGCACTCGTGTTCCTTAAGTCATTCTTGAATCAACCACCTTCCATTGCTCTGTGGTCCAGTTCTGATGCTCATGTGGGCACTTTTGGCTGTAGATACAGGGTTAGCATGGGCACCCCTGACCGGTCTGCAGCTACACAACCCCATACACAATAAACAGCAATGCACTGTGTGTTCTGACACCTTTCTAACAGTTTGAGATACAGTAGCTCTTCTAGTGGATCAGACTTCACATGCATCAGTGAGCTTTGGCTGCTCAAGACCCTGTTGCCTGTTCACTGGTTTTCCTTCCTTGGACCAGTTTTGGTAAGTCCTGACTACTGCAGACCAGAAGCATCCCACAAGAGTTGCAGTTTTGGAGATGCTCTAATCCAGTTGCCTCTCCGTTACAATTTGTCCCATGTCAGAGCTGCACAAATCTATTTACTTGCCCATTTTTTTTTTTTTTTGGTTTTCAAACACACCAACTTCAGGAACAACATCTTCACTTAGTGGCTAATATATCTAATCCATTTTTGGATGCCATTGTAAAAAAATAATCAATGTTATTTGCCTGTCAATGGTCATAACGTTATGGCTGGTCACTGTATTTTGGGATAGTTTTTCTAATGTGACTTGAAAGGTTTTCTTTTTTCCTTAGCTTGGTGGTTCTTGATGCTTATTTTGGTATAACATTGGGACTAGTTTATGGAAATGTATCAAGTACTTGGTTTTCCTTACAATTATGGGTAAAGTTCAAGCAGTATTTTTTTTTTTTTTTTTTCCCTGCATGTAACTGTGTTGTAGATCAGCTGTCAAAATCCTGACAGGAGTGTGACTTAAAGTAGAATTCCAGGCTAAACCTAACAAGTCTTAATAATGCTCTCTCCCCCCTCCTACAGTGGGGATCGAAAGTTTGGGCACCCCAGCTAAAAATTTGTATTAATGTGCATAAAGAAGCCAAGGAAAGATGGAAAAATCTCCAAAAGGCATCAAATTACAGATTAGACATTCTTATATGATGTCAACAAAAGTTAGATTTTATTTCCATCATTTACACTTTGAAAATAACAGGAAAAAAAAAATGGCGTCTGCAAAAGTTTGGGCACCCTGCAGAGTTAATATCTTGTACTGCCCCCTTTGGCAAGTATCACAGCTTGTAAACGCTTTTTGTAGCCAGCCAAGAGTCTTTCAATTCTTGTTTGAGGTATCTTTGCCCATTCTTCCTTACAAAAGTCTTCCAGTTCTTTGAGATTTCTGGGCTGTCTGTCACGCACTGCTCTTTTAAGGTCTATCCATAGATTTTCAATTATGTTGAGGTCAGGAGATTGTGAAGGCCATAGCAAAACCTTCATTTTACGCCTCTTGATGTAATCCCCTGTGGATTTTGAGGTGTGTTTAGGATCATTATCCATTTGTAGAAGCCATCCTCTCTTTAACTTCAGCTTTTTCACAGATGGCATCAAAGTTACCATCCAAAATTTACTGAAATTTTATTGAATCCATTTTTCCTTCTACTCGTGAGATGTTCCCTGTGCCACTGGCTGCAACACAACCCCAAAGCATGATTGATCCAACCCCATGCTTAACAGTTGGACAGAGGTTCTTTTCATTAAATTCTGTGCCCCTTCTTCTCCAAACGTACCTTTGCTCATTCCGGCCAAAAAGTTCAATTTTAACCTCATCGGTCCACAGAACTTGTTTCCAAAATGCATCAGGCTTGTCTATATGTTCATTTGCAAAGTTCAAACGATGATTTTTTGTGGTGAGGACGTAGAAGAGGTTTTCTTCTGATGACTCTTCCATGAAGACCATATTTGTACAAGTATCTCTTTATAGTGGAATAGTGTACCACAACTCCAGTGTCTGCCAGATCTTTCTGGAGGGATCGTGCAGTCAAACATGGGTTTTGAATTGTTTTTCTCACAATCCTGCGAGCTGTTCTGTCTGATATTTTTCTTGGTCTTCCAGATCTTGCTTTAACTTCCACTGTTCCTGATGACTGCCATTTCTTAATTACATTCCGAACAGAGGATATTGACATCTGAAAACGCTTTGCCATCTTCTTATAGCCTTCTCCAGCTTTGTGAGCGTCAACTATTTTCAGTTTCAGTTTTCTAGACAACTGCTTAGAAGAACCCATGGTCTGATTGTTGGGGCAAGGTCAGATGAGTCTGGGCATTTAAAACCTTTGAGATTGACATCACCTGGTCTTCCCAGATGATGATTGAGAACCATCCATGACACTGGCAGGTCTCAGCTTGTCAAAGGGGGCAGTGCATGCTATAAATTCTGCCGGGTGCCCAAACTTTTGCAGACGCCATTTTTTTGTTTTCTGTTATTTTGAAAGTGTAAATGATGGAAATAAAATCTAACTTTTGTTGACATCATATAAGAATGTCTAATCTGTAATTTGATGCCTTTTGGAGATTTTTCCATCTTTCCTTGGCTTCTTTATGCACATTAATACAAATTTTTAGCTGGGGTGCCCAAACTTTCGATCCCCACTGTATGCTGATTAACCTGTGGAAAGAAAGCTACATATGCTTACCTATGTTCAGACTGCTCAAGCAGCAGCTTCAGGGGAAAGGAGAGAGACCGCAACAATGACTGGTAAAGTCTGGATCAGTGACATCACTCATAAACTACATATGGCCCAGCTGTTATCAACACTCCCTCCTCTCCCCTCCAGCTGCCGCTGACTAACATGGAGGAGCTGGATCAAGTGACCCGAGTGGACTGAAAATAGGTAAGTATATACATCTTTATTACACAGGTTAGTCAGCATTGGTGTTAGGAGGGGAAGGGAGAATTTTTATGACCTGTATAGTTCAGCCTGGAATTTTACTTTAATGTTAACTTAAAGAGAATGCTGAAGTCTTGCATGCAGCCAGTACCTGGGATCCAGGGTCATTCTCATTCACAAAACCAATTTGAACATTTATTGTTTCTCAAGAGCACCTGTAACCAATAATGAAATGCCCTTAATGTTTTTCAGACCCCAGCTGTGTAAAGACAGTACCACCTAAAGAGTGTTCTGTGGGTTTGGACTCTCTTAATTCCGGTGCGAAGAGTTCTTCTTCCCCCAAACTTTTCAACAGCCTTTTATTAGGCCCAGCTGCCTCCAACACAAAGTCAGAAGGTTCCAGTTTAAGAGATCTTCTCCACTCTGGGCCTGGAAAGTTATCACAAGGGACAACAGAAGGAGGAGTACCATTCCCACCTGTATTTAATTCTTCAGTGAGTAGTACACATTATTTCTATGTAACTGTACTGATCAACTTCTAATAGATTGTAATTAGGGAAAATAGTATTTTATCAAGTGCTTAAACACACTTCTCTGTGCACTGTGGTTCCATTCACTAACCTCTATCTTCCTACTGTGTTCTGTAGTGAGGTTTGGGGCCTGTGGGAGGAAGCGCCAAACATATTAGAGGAAACGGGCATTCAACACCCCAGGAATTGTGTCAGTTGATCAAGGACCTATGCCATTGAGCTTCTTTGGGCACAATGAGCATAAATTACATGTGTGGGACCCTTTGAAAGGAGAGTTTATCATTTTTGCCTGTAGACACTTCAGTAAGAATTGTTTTAAACCTTAGTAAGAATTGTTTCAAACCCTAAAATAACAAATTCCCCTCCCCTTCCGGTAGGGAAGCATTTTGGGAATTTAATTCATGGTTCCACAAAATCTGCTATATTTGGTAGGCTTACGTTAGTTGACATTTTGTTGTAGCCAAAACTACACACATTTATCACACAGAGATTGATCCTTTACTACTGAGTTGGGATCATGGTGGTTCCCACCCTTCCCAAAGACTGCCAGTTAAGGGAGGCAGCTGTCCCTCTATGGGCAGCCCAAAGGTGCCTATAGACATGAAATCAATTTTTACCAAATGGATAGATTAAGTTGAGAGGAAATCATTTGTCTCCATACACCCCCTGACCTTGACAGTCATATCCTGTTTAAGTCTTCTCAGGGTATATTTGGAAGGTTTGATCTGTTCCTAGACAGTCGCTACTGTTTTTTTTTTTCTGGTGGTAAGCCACTGCCAGAATTTTCTACTGTAGGGGTCAGGAACCCTGTCAAACCTGGATGGGAGGGGAGATGGGGGGCCACATTTACTGAAATTGATCTTCTGTATTTTCTTTCTGGAGAAGCTGGCTATTAGCCACTGCTGGAGGAAAATACAGGCGATCGGTTCTTGTAAATGTCTCCTTTTCTGTCCAGGCTTCCCTTCTTTCTGCTTCCCAGCCCTCATGTTCTCCCCTGGTTCACCCTCACAGTGCTCTCTGCTTCCCTTCCTCTCCCGCTGGCTGCTGTGGGGAATGTTTCAGGATGGAGAGCAGGGCCCCTTCCTTTCCTGAATGAACACAGTGAGTGATTGGTACTGACCCACTCAGTGTTCATTCATAACTGAAGCATTGTAAACTTTGTTTACAATGCTTCAGTTTTGTGAGTGAACTGGAAGCCTCTCAGCACAGAGTGCTTCCCATTCATTCACCTTGCAGTGCAACTGAGGCGTCAAAAGAAGTGATGGGGGAATCTCAGTCCTTTTCTCTTTCTCAGAAGTGAGACATCAGGGGTCTGTCTAGACCCCTGATATTTCAATAAAGCATCCAACAGGGTGAAAGAAAAAGGTAACAAAAAATATTTTAATAAAAATTGCAAAAAATAATATAAATACAAAACTACTGACACCATTCTCTGCTCTACTCACACTGTCCATTGCCCTACTAATACCATTCCCTGCTCTACTCATATGGTCCACTACCCTACTGACACCATTCTCTGCTATACTGACACTGTCCTACTGACACCATTCTAGTGTGAAGAGTTCCATAGGTTTTAATGGTCATGCGTTTTTATTCCACTTTTTTTTTATGCAAAGAAAAACCTAATCCGAATGAAAGCATCCTTAATTACACTGATATATATGTGGTCATATATTGATGTAATGGCATGCACAAGGATGAAGGAAATTTGGTTTCTCCTTTTTTTTTATCTCACTGTCTCTCCATAGGTTTGATGAGACCTGTTGTGTCTACTTTCTAATGCTAAAGGAGGTGAGGACAGACAACTACTTGCAGTTTTCAGATGGGAAGAATCTGAACTGCATCAGTGGTTTCCACTTGGCTATACTGGTGTTAGAATGGCCATTTGTATTGCAATTTATAATTGTTATTTCTCAAATTAGTGTAACTAAACCATTTAAATCTTTTAGGCAAAGGGGAAATCTAGCTTGCCCAACTTTCTGGACCACATTATTGCTTCTGTCGTAGAGAACAAAAAGACGTCAGATGCCAGCAAAAGAGCCAGTAGCTCAGCAGAAAGCCTGAAGGAGGGAAAGGAAATGGTGATGGGTCTAAACGTTCTGGATCCACACACCTCACATTCCTGGCTCTGTGATGGGAGACTGCTCTGTCTTCATGACCCTAGTAACAAAAATAACTGGAAAATCTTTAGGGAATGTTGGAAACAAGGCCAGGTGAGGACTTTTTTTTTTAATTAATACTTACAATTATCTGCTTACACAGCCAGAGTAATAGAGATTGAGAACTAATTTAAATCCTTGTATTTTTTTTCTCTTAGCCTGTGTTAGTTTCTGGGGTGCAGAAGAAACTTAAATCTGAGTTATGGAAGCCTGAAGCTTTTAGCCTGGAATTTGGAGATCAAGATGTTGACCTGGTGAATTGTCGAAACTGTGCCATCATTTCAGATGTAAAAGTGCGAGATTTTTGGGATGGTTTTGAAGTTATTGAAAGTAAGTCAATTTTTTTGTTTTCAGATTAGTTAAAAACATCCTCTCAAATGATGCAATATTGTATTCACTGTTCTTTGCTGCTCCTTTACATGATGTGGGAAAAAGCCAATCTCTAAGCAAATGTTGTAGTGAATACATTTTAATCCAGTTCAACTTTTGGCAGAACCTTAGGGCTTTTTTGTTTCTGAGATGTTTATGCTGTACCATAACTTTAGCTATTGTAGGAAATCCTAATATATTATGCATCAAAACTTATGATAGTTTTATTTGTCAGAAGATTTGGGTGCATTTTCATGCATTTTTTCCCAACCTAACTTCTATGTAAGTTGTTTACTCTCAGATTTTTACAAGATATTACTTCTATCTAAAATGATTGTAGGTAACATAATAAAATGGTGAAGCTCAACGTGAAAGTTTCTTTCAATTTAGTTCACCTTATAAGTTGGAAAACAGTCAGGTTGTGTAAATCATTACTTTAACACTAGGATCAGGCTATTTGCATGGACAGCAATTTTTACAATGTCATTGGCTTGCAATAACAATTCTGAATAACACTGCACACAACTGGTGTGTTTTGACATTTGTGAACTCTGGTGCTCAGCCCTTGTCACCTCTGAGAAGTGATCCGTGGTGGATTGCAGCTGGGAGATATGTTGCCAGCTCGTCGCTTGTTTTAACCCTGAAAAGCCAGCACCCCAATGCCTCAATGGCTCAAAGTATATGCAGTTGCGGCATGGCCGTGTTCACTTGGGTTGATTTTGTTAGCAAGTACTGCCTGCCGAATGCAACAATGCAGGGTATTATGTGCACATCCCATCCGAACCCCGTTGCAGCTTATTGGGGCTTAATTGCCTATTTTGACCACCCCTCCCTGGCTGTCCGTGTGAACAAGCCCTACATGATATTGCCTAGTCTGTCTAGCTCTTTCCACTCCTTTAATCCAAACTATGTATTAAAAAAAAAAAAAAAATGTATGTAATCCAATTATGTTTACTGGAAACAATGTAACTAATAACAGTCACCAGAAGCAGAGAGCACAGGAATTTATCACCTGTTTATATTTGTTTGCACTTATTAAACAGATATAACAAAACTTTTACAGTGGTATAAATTATCAGACTAAAAAGGGAGCAAATAAGAGACATTTGTTGTTAGAGTTTACATTTAAAGTTGTTTGCTAAATATTTTCTAAATAGTGATAAAGCTCATAATTTTCTGAATAGTGATTAAGTGTTGGCTGTTTCTGATTGTACATGGTTACATTTTACATACATTTATTCCAATACCAAACATTATTGGAAAATGTTAAATGTGAAAGCAGTATTAAACCCAATAAGCAAACATTTATTATATCGTAACTTATCAATTCTTAGACGTGAGAGCTGCCTTAGAACAAAATAGAAGAAAAAAGCTTTGAAATAACTGGTGATCCAGCCAATAAGTCTGTTATTTTTCAATAGAAAAACTCTCTTGCAGTTGCAGGGATGAGACAAACCATTTAATGTTGGCAGGAGTTCCTAAAATGATCAGCTGATGCTTATCTAAAACCTTTAGACTAGGTTCATGCTGAAGCAGTGCGCCTTCGTTCTTCTCCCGCTTTCTCCCTTTCCGCTCTCTCCCTCAGTAACACACAGAGTGGACCTCAAAATTGGATCGCACGACTCCAAAGTGCAACATCCCTAGGAATTCATTAGATTTTTTATGTCATGTGCGAATCACTGCGGTCTAAACACGCATCCAAAACCACATCATTGTGAAACCATGGCCTTCTCAAAAGGGAAAAAAAAAGCTGCTAAAGTATTAGCTGAAGTTCAGCTTCAAATTGTTAGTGTATTTAAATCTTCTAGTACATCTAACCCCCCCCCCTTCTCGATTGACAATTCTGTCGAAATTTGCCCCCTCTCCTCTAAAGTCTTGTCTGTATAACACAGAAGGTGTGTTACTGGCTAAATCATTAGGTGAAAATAGAGGGGGGGGGGGAAAAACTTAAAAAAAAAAAAAAAAAAAAAAATGGATGCAGCCATTACATCCAATGATTGGTTAGCTGCAATATATTACATTTTCAGTTTTTTGAGTTTAATACCATTTTAAGAATAGATTTAGCCATGTGCCTTAATCTCTCTTTCTTTTGAAGCCTGATCTGCTTCCGGATCACGCTGCAGAGGCTACTGACAGTCAGTGAGGAACTGATGTAATGCCTCCTCACCGCCTGTTTTAATCCCATTTTTAAAATCTCGCCACAAGCGCATGCATTGCACATGGTTGTGAGGCATCTACAGTGCTTCCCCATTGATTTTCATGTGTAGTGTTCAGCTGGCTTTCCACCTGCCGATCTTAACATGATTGGTCAACTTAGCCGCAATCGCGAAGCATCATGGTCGTGGCATGTAAACATCTCCCTCCGCTGCCTATTGCAGCCTAATATATATTTTATTATAAACACCTATGTTGTAGTAAAAAAAAAAAAAAAAACCTTGTATGATTTTAAAAACGCTACCTTTACTAATGCAACATGTAACGTTAAATATTTTGGCAGAGAGATTACGAGCAGAAGATGGGACGCCTATGGTTCTTAAACTGAAGGATTGGCCACCAGGGGAGGACTTTAGGGACATGATGCCTACAAGGTAAAATGTGTTCCTACTCAGCCAGTACATATACTGTATATGCAAGTACTTTTTTTTTTTTTTTTTTTTTTTGTTCTGAGAAACACTTGAAACATCTGTCCTTGCATGCTTGCCTACTTTTCCAATTAAGTAACACACTCAATACAAAAAAAAAATAAATAAAAATGAGTTTAATGCATTGCCTGTAACACTGCCTGGTGTACTGGCTAGTTAATATTTGCTTGTATCTTTATGATTTAGGAAGTTAGACAAATCTGATGAATAGAAGTGTTAGGAGTACAACTGGACAGACCACTGCACTATGGTTGTACAATATAACTTAAAATTAAAACAATAAGTGATAATAAATGGTAAAAAAACTGCGCTAAATGCATGAAAAGTGATGAATACCACTAATAAATAATGACTGTGTATAAACACAAACGAAATGCTTCCATTTTGAAAATAAATGAATAAAACACATAAATGAACACTCAACAAGTGATCAAGTATTTCAAAGTCTCTTGTACGTGTGCAAAATAACGAAAATATATAAACAAAAAAATGGATGAATAAAAAAGAAAGAAAAAGCATTTATTAAAATTGGTGTATAGTCCCCAAAATAAGTCCAAATACTATTTATCTACCAAATAGTTCTTCAGAACTTCTAAAACGATGACCACTATGTGAAAAAAAATTGAAGAAAGTCTAGTGTTCCCCCTCTCAGGTGTACACTCACCAGCAAGTGTTGCCTCCCACTCTCATGGTTGGCAAAATTGCCCTAATAGACGTTCTTCAATGGAGAAAGGAGATTATCCATACCATTATATTATATTTTACTTTCCTTCCCTTTCAAAACGACCAAGAACATGTATGAGGTACTCATGAGTTCCAATAATTAGAAGTGATCAGGGAATCCTCTTTCCTCCTAATACTCCATACGAAGGTGTTCAGTGGGGTTGAGGTCAGGGCTCTGTACAGGACACTCAAGTTCCTCCATGCCAAACTGGTGAAGCCATATCTTTATGGATATGTTGATTGAAAAGACCTGATTGTTCCAATGGATCCCAAAGATGATCAGTAAGGTTAAGGTCAGAGCTCTGTACAGGACATTTGAGTTCTTCCACATGTATAAGAGTTTTTGCGCTACTTGATCACTTGTTGGGTGTTCTTTTATGTGTTTTTTATACAATATGACTTCGACCTTGGTATACAGAAGACTTGAACCCTCTCTCACTTTCACACTGTCTGTAATTGTAACTGCTCTCCGCTTGTGAGGGACTCATTTTATTTAGGAGTCTTGGGTCTGCCAGTATTACAGTGTCACATTGTCATGGATCTTGTAGGGTAACTTAAACTTGAGCCATGTTTCTATCCTTTTGAGCCATGATCCCAGGGTAGCTTTCCCTTTTACTGAACTTTGGGAAATACTAATTTTGTGTCTGGAAAGAACAGTATGGAGCAAAAAAGTTTGCATTTAACATAATTATTTGAGCAACGCTAGTAAGGTGCTACAGAGAAACCCACCATATATTCTTCTGTTACCTGGGTCATGCTTTGAGAATGTTTAGCATTATCCTTAGAACTGATAAGAGCCCTAAAGCAATCAAACATATTTAGTCATTCAGATTCTTTTAGGTTCATATTTAAACCTCACCAGTTGTTACCTGGCTACACAGTTCTTATTCCAGAAATAGATAAGTGAAGCCTAGTGGTGTAAAACAAAGGGATTGTCCAGGTTTCTTTTACATATTCATTGTTAAAATGCTTTCATGGGGATAACGTTTTCAGTCACTTCAACTTTGTTTTAGATTTGAAGATCTGATGGAGAACCTTCCTTTGCCTGAATATACAAAAAGAGATGGGAGGCTTAATTTGGCTTCTAGGTTGCCCAGCTATTTTGTCCGACCAGATCTTGGACCTAAAATGTACAATGCCTATGGTATGCTTTCGTTGTGATTTCATTTACATACTGTACATTGTTTTCAGAATACAAATCATCATTGTCTTTTTGTTATATTTACAGTATGCTGATATTTAAAAGTAATTGCAGTGACATATTTGGTATTTGGAGTTTTATGATTTAGCAAATTCTGAATTGTTCTCACTTGTAAATACTGAAGACATATGGGAATTAAAAATTTGAGTGTTGTGATTGTGCATCTGGAACAGTGTTTCTCAACCTTTTTACCTTGGAGGAACTCTTGGCATAAAGTTTGAGATCTTGGGAAACCCCTGAAATAATACTCAGATCTACAGCTCACAGAAAATTGGTGTGATCAGCGAGCTGTTGATATAACAATTACATTTTTTTTTTAAATGGCTTTAAATAATAGAATCAATTTTAAAACATACCTGTTTATTGTAAAACCTGTGCTTGCTTTTGTCTTCTCGGATGCTCAATTCTGGGTCAAACGTAAGCAATGTACAGGAGGGCAGCATGGCAAAGCACAGGGGGTCAGGAGGGCACACTACATGGGGGGGCAGCAGAGCACACTACATGGGAGCAGGGCACCCATTATGGGGCACACAGCAGGGAACATTGTATAGGATCAGGGCATCTGGGATCAGGGCACATGGTATCAAGGCACCATAAATGGGATTGCAGCACATTTCATGGGATCGGAGAACATGGGATCAGGGTACCTAACATTGAGCTCTGGGCAGTACTGATCATTTCAATTTCAGAGCTAATCAGGTCCTCTTCTTCTGAGTCCTCTTCTGCCGCACTGTTCCCTGCCGGCCCCACCTCCAATTCTCCCTTCCTGTCCATCCTGGATGATGTCACATACAAGCATCGGGGATGGACAGGCGGGGCCAGCGGGGAGCAGCACTGCACAGCTACACAAGCATGGCCACTTTCTTGTTTAGCTGTGTGCGAGTCAGCAGAGGGGATGCTATCTACCTGTTAGCTGCCTGTTGATCGTCATGGAACTCTGGTTGAGAAATGCTGAACTATTAGATGTTATCCACTTGGCAACTGCCTTTAGTCACCGGGTCCCAGCTGGGACTCGGTGATTTGCAGAGCAGCTGACAGGAGAGAGATCTGTGAGTGTATACAACACAGAACTCTCTCCTGTCAGTGGGGACCTGCTGGTTTTTATCTCTCTGCAAAGCAGACCAGCAAATCCCCTAGTCAAACACCACAAAATACATGATTAAATCGCTCCCTAACACACACATAACTCTTTGATTTCCCCAGATGTTAACACCTTCCTGCCCAGTGTCATTAGTACAGTGTCAGTGCTTTTTATTAGCACTGACCACTGTATTAGTGGCACTGGAGATGTCAGTGGCAGTTTGTTCCCACCCAGTGTCAGTTCTTGTCAGAAAGCCCGCCGTACTATAGCACTCCCACTATGATAGTTTATAGATGCTATAATTTTCATGCAAACCAATTAATATACACATATTGGGATTTTTTTTTTCTACCAGACATGTCACAGAATACATTTTGGCCTAAATTTATGAAGAAAGTTTAATTTTCTTATTGGATATGTTTTATAGCAAAAAGTAAAATACTATTTTTTTGTTTGTTTTTTTTTTTATTTTTGGTATTTTTTCGTTCATAGCGCAAAAAATATAAAACCCAGTGATGATCGAATACCACAAAAAGAAAGCTCCATTTGTGTGAAAAAAAAGATATAAATTTCATTTGTGTACAGTGTTGCATGACCACGCAATTGTTAGTTAAAGTAGCGCAGCGCCCGAATCGCAAAAAATGGCCTGGTCATGAAGGAGGGTATATCTTACGGAGGGCAAGTGGTTAGGCAATGTAAGATCAGAAACATTTTAGAGTTTCCTCATGTATCTTTGTACTGCTAGGGGGAAAAAGCACATTATATAGTCAAACCCTCCTTATTTTTTTTTTAGTTTAGTACTGGCAAATGCTTTATCTGTGATGCTACAACACTTGTTGACCTTTTCATAGGTACACTGTCCTGAAGTTGGCCGCATTATTGGAGTCTTTTGATTTGCAGCCAATGAAACTGGGATACAGTACGTTTTTGTATCACGCAAGGTTTTTGCTTGGAAGCAGCATTTTCCAACCATTTTGCAACCTAGGAAGTATGTAAACTGTAGGGAATGTCCACACTTAGGGGACATTTAGAAATTCTAGTAATTTACACTAGTACTGTAGATATTTTTGGAAGGCTTAGTAATCTTAAGATCAGCTAAATGTACCAATTTATGGTCTTGACAATTTTTTTTTTTTTGTTGCTATGCTATAACACAGGTTATTATAGTACATGTTTGAATATAACATTAACTGTCTGATTCTGCTTTGGTTAAGGATTAATAACTGCTGAAGATAGGAGGGTTGGTACAACAAACTTGCATTTGGATGTCTCTGATGCAGTAAATGTCATGGTTTATGTTGGCATCCCAAAAGGTGAAAGTGCCCATGATGAAGGTAAGGCTATATGTTTCAAATAAAAACACAGTTTCTGCACTGCTTGTATTGCTTGCCACTAGACTGGATAGCTGTGTTTTCAGTATGGAAGTACTGCACTGTACAGACATTTGTATTCTAGTAAAGCGTTAATGTTTAAATGACCACATTCACTTTTCAGAGGTGCTTAGGACCATAGAGGAGGGAGATGCTGATGAAGTAACAAAAAAGCGTATTCATGATGGAAAAGAAAAGCCTGGAGCTTTATGGCATATTTATGCTGCCAAAGATGCAGAGAAAATACGGGAACTGCTTAGAAAGGTACAGTATTTATGCCATTAATATATTTATCACATAAAACAAATACTGCTAGCTTAATCCTAATGTCACCTTTTTCTTTTAACTTCTGTAGTATGGGGACGAACAGGGGCAAGAGAATCCATCAGATCATGACCCAATACATGATCAGAGTTGGTATTTAGATCAGGCATTGCGTAAGCGTCTCTATGATGAATATGGTGTACAAGGCTGGGCAATTGTGCAATTCCTTGGTGATGCAGTCTTCATTCCTGCTGGAGCCCCACATCAGGTAAAAAAGACTTGGCTTATGCTTTAGAGTTAGCTTAAAGTGATACTAAACCTAAAAATGTTTTTTACCTTAATGTATTGCTTGCATTATGGTAAAAATATTTCTAGTTTCCATGTGCTCCCTCCTCCCTGTGTGAAGAGGAAGAGAGGGGAGGAGAGATCAGCGCTATCTCTTCTTCTCTCGCATTCTCTTCACACAGCACACCATTGGCTCTTGCGGCTGTCAATCAGATGTGGTGAAGAGGAAGTGGGGGGTGGGGATAGGTCCCGCTGTGTGTGTCTATGGCGCGTAGCTCTGTAGACACACAGGTCAGGAGCAAGCACGCAGCGTGTGTCCCCATAGCAAACAGGTTGTTATGGGGACAGATGAAGGGGAAGAGCCAGGATCAGTGGCGGTGGACCTGATAAGAGGAGGGTCAGTGCCACTCTGTGCAATACCACTGTACAGAGCAGGCGAGTATAACAGGTTTGTTATTTTAATTTAAAATTTAAAAAAATCTGCCTTTCGTAACACTTTAACCCCTTCACGCCTAAGGATAAAACAAATCTAAATGCCTAAGCACAATTTTGCAATGTTGACATGCATTAGTAAAACAGTGCATATCACCACAACTACTTTGTACATCCAGGTGAAATTATACCTTGTTTTTTTTCAGGACAAATTGAGCTTTCATTTGCTGTTAAATGCTAATGGATATCTCCAGATTTTTTTTTTTTTTTTTTTAAATTATTATTATCAAAGGAAAACTGGCCAAAATAGTAAAAAAATATATATTTATTTTTAATTTAGCTGTGTGTGTGTGTTGTTACTACCATAACCTACCACCAAAGAACAACCCAAAATAAATTCTCCAGCTCATGACAATCACAGCGATATCATATATGTGTATGTCATTTGTTGTTTGTACCCGTAGTACAGCCCAGAAACAATAGTGTACATTTTGTTTTTCTTTTTACCTAAAACACACTGACACTAACTGACACCAATTTTTTTTGTTTTAATCCTGACTTTTGACCCTTCCCGTTTTTTTACCCTGACTTTGACCCAAACACTTTACCCTGGCACTGAACTAGATCAAACCT